CCCAAAATCCCCAAAAATACTCCAAAAATTCCAAAAATTTCCCCCAAAATTCCAAAAAAACCCCAAAAATTCCCAAAATTTTCCCAAAATTCCCAAATTTTCCCAGAATTCTGGGATTTTCCCACAAACCTTGAGGATGAAGTCGGGGGGGTCCCGGGACCCCTCAAAAACCGCAAAAATCCCCCCAAAAAACTCCAAAAATTCCAAAAAAATTCCAAAAAAACCCCAAAATTCCCAAAATTTTCCCCAAATTCCTGATTTTTCCCGGAATTCCGGGATTTCCCCCCAAACCTTGAGGATGAAGTCGGGGGGGGTCCCAGGACCCCTCAAAACCCCCCAAATCCCCAAAAAAACCTCCAAAAATTCCAAAAAAATTCCAAAAAAACCCCCCAAAAATTCCAAAAAAACCCCAAAATTCCCAAAATATTCCCAAAATTCCTGATTTTTCCCGGAATTCCGGGATTTCCCCCCAAACCTTGAGGATGAAGTCGGGGGGGGTCCCAGGACCCCTCAAAACCCCCCAAAAAACCCCAAAATTCCAAAAAAATTCCCAAAAAATTCCAAAAAAATTCCAAAAAAATTTAAAAAAAAATCCCAAAAATTCCCAAAATTCCCAAATTTTCCCAGAATTCCGGGATTTCTCCCCAAACCTTGAGGATGAAGTCGGGGGGGGTCCCAGGACCCCTCAAAACCCCCCAAATCCCCAAAAAAACCTCCAAAAATTCCAAAAAAATTCCAAAAAAACCCCCCAAAAATTCCAAAAAAACCCCAAAATTCCCAAAATATTCCCAAAATTCCTGATTTTTCCCGGAATTCCGGGATTTCCCCCCAAACCTTGAGGATGAAGTCGGGGGGGGTCCCAGGACCCCTCAAAACCCCCCAAAAAAACCCAAAATTCCCAAAAAATTCCCCAAAAATTCCAAAAAAATTCCAAAAAAATTAAAAAAAAAATCCCAAAAATTCCCAAAATTCCCAAAATTTTCCCAAAATTCCCGATTTTTCCCGGAATTCCAGGATTTTCCCCCAAACCTTGAGGATGAAGTCGGGGGGGGTCCCGGGTCGCACCGTGGGCCTCAGGACCCCGTCGTGGTGGGAGTGGATCAAGGTCTCGTCCAAATCCAGCACCAGAATCTTCCTCTTCACCTGGTCTGGGGAAAAAATCCGGGAATTCCGGGAAAATCCGGGAATTTGGGGGGAAATTTGGGAATTTGGGGGGAAAATCTGGGAATTTGGGGGGAAATTTGGGGGAAAATGGGGGTTTTTAGGGGAAAATTGGGGGATTTGAGGGGAATTTGGGGGGAAAATTTGGGAATTTCGGGGAAAAATTTGGGAATTTGGGGGGAAATTTGGGAATTCTGGGGGAAAATCCCAGAATTTGGGAGGAAAATCTGGGAATTTGAGGTAAAATTTGGGAATTTGGCTGCAAAATTTGGGGATTTTCCTCCCAATTTGGGGATTTTTTCCCCCAAAATTCCAATTTTTCCCCCAAAATTCAGGATTTTTTTATCCCAATTTGGGTTTTTTCCCCCAAATTTCGGGATTTTTTTTCCCCCGGATTTTGGGATTTTCCCCAAATTTTGGGATTTTTTTCCCAGGATTTTGGGATTTTTCTCCCCTGGATTTGGGGATTTTTTTCCCAGGATTTTGGGATTTTTTTCCCAGATTTTGGGATTTTTCCCGGGATTTTGGGATTTTTCTCCCAGATTTTGGGATTTTTTCCCCTGGATTTTGGGATTTTCCCGGGATTTTGGAATTTTTCTCCCCTGGATTTTGGGATTTTTCCCAGGATTTTGGGTTTTTTTCCCAGGATTTTGGGATTTTCCCGGGATTTTGGGATTTTTCCCTCGGATTTGGGGATTTTTTCCCAAATTTTGGGGATTTTTTCCCGGGATTTTGGGATTTTTTTCCCAAGATTATGGGATTTTTTTCCCAAGATTTTGGGATTTTTCCCAGGATTTTGGGTTTTTTTCCCGGGATTTTGGGACTCACTCAGGCGGTTCCTGGAGATGGGAGACAGGGGCAGGACGTCGTAGCGCACGGTCTGGTACTGGATCACCTGCAAACCCCAAATTCCGCTTTGGGACAGCCCCAAAATTCCCCAAAATCCCAAAATTCCCCAAAATCCCCAAATTCCCAAAAATCCCAAAAATCCCCGCAAAAAACAAAAAAAAACCCGAAAATTTTGGAGCTTTTTTGAGGAAAAAATTCAAAATTTGCCTCAAAATCCATAAAAATCTCCCCAAATTCCCCCCCGAAATTCCCAAAAATCTTCCCCAAATCCACAAAAATCCTGAAATTCCTCAAATTCTTCCCAAATCCTCCCAGAATTCCCAAAATTTCCCCCCAAAAACAAAAAAAAAATGGGAATTTCGGAGTTTTTTTGGAAGAGAAAACCCCAAAATTCCCAAAAAAATTCCCCAAAAATGCTCCTGGATTTCCTCAAATTCTTCCCAAATCCCCCCAGAATTCCCAAAATTCCCAAAATTCTCCTCGATTTCCTCCAATCCTCCCCAAAACTCCCCAAAATCTTCCCCAAAAAATCCACAAAAATCCCCCCAAAATCGGCGAAAACTCCCAGGAAATTCCCAAAATTCCTCCCCAAACTCCCACGGGAATTCCCGAATTCCCTCCTGCCGCCATTCCCGCTTTTTCCCGCTCCATTCCCGCTTTTTCCCAGGTTATTCCCGGTTTTTCCCGCTCCATTCCCGATATTTCTGCTCCATTCCGGGTTTTTCCCGGTTCATTCCCAGTTTTTCCCACTCCATTCCCGCTATTTTTGCTCCATTCCAGGTTTTTCCCGGCTCATTCCCGGTTATCCCCGCTCCATTCCCGATATTCCAACTCCATTCCCGGTTTTTCCCGCTCCATTCCCGGTTATTCCTGAGCCATTCCCGGTTATTCCCGGTTTTTCCCGGCTCATTCCCGCTCCATTCCCGATATTCCAACTCCATTCCCGGTTTTTCCCGGTTCATTCCCGGTTTTTCCTGAGCCATTCCTGATATTTCTGCTCCATTCCAGGTTTTTCCCGGGTCATTCCCGGTTATCCCCGCTCCATTCCCGATATTCCAACTCCATTCCAGGTTTTTCCCGGGTTATTCCCGGTTTTTCCCGCTCCATTCCCGATATTTCTGCTCCATTCCGGGTTTTTCCCGGTTCATTCCCGGTTTTTCCCACTCCATTCCCGATATTTTTGCTCCATTCCAGGTTTTTCCCGTGCCATTCCCGGCTATTCCTGAGCCATTCCCGGTTATCCCCGCTCCATTCCCGATATTTTTGCTCCATTCCAGGTTTTTCCCGGGTCATTCCCGGTTATCCCCGCTCCATTCCCGATATTCCAACTCCATTCCAGGTTTTTCCCGAGCCATTCCCGGTTATCCCCGCTCCATTCCCGATATTTCTGCTCCATTCCAGGTTTTCCCGGCTCATTCCAGCTCCATTCCCGATATTCCAACTCCATTCCTGGTTTTTCCCGCTCCATTCCCGATATTCCAATTCCATTCCCGGTTTTCCCGGTTCATTCCCGGTTATTCCCGCTCCATTCCCGATATTTTTGCTCCATTCCAGGTTTTTCCAGGGTCATTCCCGGTTATTCCTGAGCCATTCCCGCTCCATTCCCGGTTTTTCCCGGTTTTTCCCGGTTATCCCCGCTCCATTCCCGATATTCCAACTCCATTCCAGGTTTTTCCCGCTCCATTCCCGTTATTCCAACTCCATTCCTGGTTTTTCCCGGTTCATTCCCGGTTTTTCCCACTCCATTCCCGATATTCCAACTCCATTCCAGGTTTTTCCCGGCTCATTCCCGGTTATTCCTGAGCCATTCCCGCTTTTTCCCGAGCCATTCCCGATATTTTTGCTCCATTCCAGGTTTTTCCCGGGTCATTCCCGGTTATTCCCGTTGGAATTCCCGGTAAAATTCCCGGTAATTCCCGATGGAATTCCCAATATAAATTCCCGATATAAATTCCCGTTAATTCCCGATATAAATTCCCGTTAATTCCCGGTATAAATTCCCGGTTATTCCCCATATAATTCCCGTTAATTCCCGGTATAAATTCCCGGTTATTCCCCATATAATTCCCGTTAATTCCCGCTGGAATTCTCCGTATAAATTCCCGTTAATTCCCGTTAATTCCCGGTACAATTCCCGGTAATTCCCGGTACAATTCCCGTTAATTCCCGTTAATTCCCAGTACAATTCCCGGTAATTCCCGTTATCCCTGACCCATTCCCGGTACAATTCCCGGTACAATTCCCATTGATTCCCGGTACAATTCCCGTTAATTCCCGGTACAATTCCCGTTATCCCGGATCCCATTCCCGTTGGAATTCCCGGTATTCCCGGTGTTTTTCCCGGTGTTTTTCCCGGTACTCACGGTCCGGCCCTGCCTCCGGAGCAGGTAAAGGGCGAAGCTCCAGAGTTTGGGGCTCCGTTCCCGTTAATTCCCGGTAATTCCCGGTACAATTCCCGGTAATTCCCGTTATCCCGGATCCATTCCCGGTACCCCCGGTACAATTCCCGTTGGAATTCCCGGTGTTTTTCCCGGTACTCACGGTCCGGACCTGCCTCCGGAGCAGGTAAAGGGCGAAGCTCCAGAGTTTGGCGGCGAAGGCCACGAAGGAGCGGAGGCCGAGCAGGCACTGGCTGCGCATCCTCGCGCTGCCGGCCCCGCCGCCGCCGCCTCTC